TGGTCCAGAGAGAGCGAGGGGCGAGGTTTGCAAAAGCAAAGCCGCGCAGCAGCTGCCCCCCTGTGTCACACAATCGCGTCTAAGAAATCCCCAGCTGTTCATTACATCGTCTGCAACATCTTAGGCCGGAGTGCCCTAATGCTGTCACCACTTCCTCGGTATTCTGCACAGCCAGACCTGAGGACTTGCCCACTCTGTGAGCGTTCTTGTTAAGTGCTGTGGTGGATTATCATTATTTTTTTTAAGAAGGAAAAAAACCCCATTCAAATAAAGACTGATTTTATTCCACAAAAACATTTTGCTTTTCAGCTGCTGAAAGAAGTTGTCCATGAAGGCTCTGCAGCCAGACTCCTTGGAGATTTGGAAAGGAACGTAAAGTCAGGTTTCAGTTACCCATGTTAGGCGTGGGCAGCATAGATTCGTGAAAGCGCCCAGCCATCTCCAGTCCTTTGTAAATGGCCTGTGCTCTGGAGTCTGCGAGCCAGGGTTTTCCTTACAAACTGCGAGACTGGTCAGAGTATCTGAGCCTCAGTTTCCACATCTATGGAGTGGGTATTCTGCTTCTCTTGGTAATTGTGCACTATAAAATGGATAAGCAATGCAAACTGCACAGGTGAGAGTCTCTCGTGTAATAAGCACCAGGTAAATTAGAGTTCGTTCTTTAGACGGACTCTTAGACCTTAATTTACAAAATCTCCCAGAGACAGGCCACATACCGTTATCACTATTAACCAAAACAGCAATGTCGAGGTTGTCTAAGCTTGAATTGGCAGGACTGTTCAATCAGTTGGATGGAATGAAATCTTAAACGACACAAAAGGATTTAGACAGGTCTTTAAAGTTTATTGCACTGAGATTTAACTGCTTCAGTAGCTAAGGATGCCTGACTGACCTGAAATTCACCTCCTTTCCTTCCCAATTAGCCCTCAAGAGGAAGAATTAATGAGGAATAAAGTGGCAAACGAGGTGACAAAGTGGAGGGTGGAAGACCAGCAGTGAATGTACAGGTCTCGCATTCATCCAAAAAGCACGTATACACAGCTGTCTGTGTACTGGGTCGTAGCGATGCAAGAAGGGAAATACTGCCCAGCCAGGTGTGGCTCAGTGACTGAGGGTCGTCGCAGGAACCAAGAGATCACCAGTTCGATTCCCAGGCAGGGCATCTGCTCCAGTTGCGGGCTTGATCTCCAGTCGGGGGTGAGGAGGAGGCAGCCGACTGATGACTCTCTCTCATTATTGATGTTTCTGTCTATCTCTCCCTCTGCCTTTCTCTCTGAAATCAATAAAAATGTTTTTTTTTAAAAAGAAAGGAAATACTAAAATGAGGGTCATTTCTAATAACTGAGAAGTTACTATATCTTGCCTTGTTCCTTATATAAAAAAAGAGCATAATAGATGCTCAAAATGTGTTGAATGAATAATGGCATACATTGTTTATTAAGGGTTTCTACATGTATAATTTCCCGCCTCTTCTGTTAGTGCTTTCTGTTGGATGTTTCTACACTAGTAAATCCCTGCTTCTATAGCAGCACATCTATAAAAGATTTAATCTGATTCATTTCATTGCATGGTCAGTCCATAACAAAAAAAAAAGAGTAATGCGTAAAAACACGTTCTGCATGACCAATTAGTTGCTTTTCTTGGATTATAATATGTGAATCATCCAGCTTGCAAGGTGTCACTTTAAAGTCTATACTCATGCTACCAAACAATAGTTTTCACATTTTCTTAATCTGAGCAACAGATTATGGAGTTAAGTGAGGCAAGAAATCCCTTGATCAATAAATGGAATGGAATCATAATGAAAACACAATTTAAAAAATCTCTTCTTAAGAGGGAAGCAGTTATCTAAATCCGCAATAGGCATCAAGGATCTTCTTTGTTTAAACTGGGTTTGAAAATGATACAAATTTGGGTTGCGGAGTGAAATATGCTCAACATACTAACCAGAACTGCTAGGAATCTCTAAGGCTCTTATTTTCCCCCAAATAGTGTTGGACAATCTATTTTGTGCTTATACATCTCCCATTTTGAATATATATATATATATATATATATATATACTGTGTGTGTGTGTGTGTGTGTGTGTTGATATAAGGGCTTTTCACACATGCATTTGTAGAGGGCCAGTAATAGATGGCCAGGAAGCTGTACATAGGGGAAAGAACTTAAAGAACTCGGGTACTGGCACTTAAGGGGAGAGAAAACTTCATGTGGGGCTAAGGGGAGAGGATGACAAAGTAGACAAGACTGAATTAGAGACTTAAGACACAACTTCAGGCAGGGTTGGAAACCTAATTTGAAGATATTAAGCCAGACGAGATTTGGGGGCATGGGGATAAGGACGCAAAGACCACAGGAATGGAGTGGCTTCAATGCATGAAGCTTCTATGGGGTACAGTTTAGCTCAGTTTAGCACCCCGAGTTATTAAAGACAATAGAAGGAGCTCTGACTTTGGCCTTGATGGGGTGGGATGGGGCAGCAGCAGGAACAATGTTTCATGAACAACAGATCAAGTTCGCTGGGAACGGCAAGCCCAGTGTGGGCGTATGAGGAGTAGCCATGTAGCTGATGCCAGAGATCCCAAGCAGTCACAAAGAGAGAAAACAGCTTGGGCAGATCGTCTCACACAATAAGGACCTTATTCAGCAGGGAGTGAGAGAACAAAAGGTTAGTTAAGATTACAAAGAACGTCACTAAAAAGGAGGGAACTCTAAAAGTAACTTCTAATGACATATTTTCATTTTCGCTCCGAGATAGCTGTACTCTGGAATAAACTCTAAGGCTCTTGGGGGGGGGGGGGGGGTGTAGGGCAGCTGAGAGACAAAGGTGGGTTTGCCACAGAGCTGCCTGCGGGTGGTCAAGAGAGTGTGCGGAGAGGGTAGAGGTCACCTGGGAAGGGGGATAAGGAATAGGCTCAGAGAAACAGGAAATAATTAACTTGAGAGCTTGACAGAGAAAGGAAGACCGCGTGATGATCCGAAGAGGGGAAGGCAGTGCCAGCATCTCGGGATCTACACAAATCATTTTTCAAATAGATGCTGGACTCAAAACTGCCCAACAGGTGCTTGGAACAAGCCTTGGCTTGGTCTTCAGGGGCTGCTGGGGAAAAGTCAAATGTAATATAATGTCATGCCATGTAACTGAACTTCCTGGGAGTAATTAGTAAAACTCTGAAAAACCAGATCTAATGTTTAGGAAAGTGGGTTTCTTCTTATTTCATTATGAAGTGATGCAAGATAGTGCTTCCCACACTTAAGAACATGTTTGAGATTTTTGACATGCCTGTTTCCTACACGATAATTTATGTAATATTTTTCTTTAAATCACGTTTTAAACTTAAATACATTTATTTGAAAAGAAAACTTAAAATCATTTCCATAAGTGGAAAATCAGTATCACTTGGAAACTGATAACTTTCCAAATGGAAGCCAACTATAAAAGCTAATAACTAAATAACATATACATAATATCCCCATGTTTTTTTTCTAGGTTCATCTTGCTTACTAATGATGGTAGGCATATGTATTACTCATACATCTGAAATAAGAAGCACCTTGGGAAGTATTAGTTGTAGGGACTCTAACTTGTAATCGGGTGTTTTTCAGACTTGGTTAGCAACCCATTAGAGCAGTGGTTCTCAACCTTCCTACTGCCGCTACCATTTAATACAGTTCTTCATGTTGTGGTGACCCCCAACCATAAAATTATTTCGTTGCTACTTCATAACTGTAATTTTACTACTGTTATGAATCGTAATATAAATATCTGATATGCAGATGTATTTTCATTGTTACAAATTGAACATAATTAAAGCATAGTGATTAATCACAAAAGCAATATGTAATTATATGTGTTTTCCGATGGTCTTAGGCAACCCCTGTGAAAGAGTCGGACGACCCTTTCACAGGGGTTGCAACCCACAGGTTGAGAACCGCTGCATTAGAGGGTTTTGAAATTGATATAATGAGTCACAGATCACACTGAAAAAAACAAAACAAAACAGAGAATGAATAGAAAATAATCGGTGCACTGCACATCATATTTGGTTATGTGTTGCTTTGCAAAACGCTTACTTCTTCTGTTGTATATATATTTTATATGGCAGTGAAATAAAAAAGTATTTCTGTGGTTCCAACTGTGGGCAGCGGTGGAAGCGTTTGAACGTTGTTGCTATAATCTGTATTCATATTTCATGCTTCTGTGTATTGGTGGCACTGAACAGCAGAAGCTGCTTGGAGGAAACAAGATGGGCTTCCTTTGGTGACTCTGCTGAAGGGAGGGGCAGGGGATAGTGGTGGCAGGAAACATAACCAGGGCTCTCCTTGTGCCCTTTTAAGGCCATGCCCTCCAGGAGTGGGAGGGGTCTTGTAGAAGGAGACAGATGTCTCTCCAAGAAGCTTGCCTTTACCTTTCCTGTGCTGTAAATAGCTTCAAGATGGGGAGAAGTGGCTAAGGTGGCCCTATCAGGTCCTGCCTTGTCCTCGGTAATCTAGGGACTTTAGATGAGAAATGGGAAAGAAGGGGGAATAGTGCAAAAGATGCAGAAAGATCTCTAGCCCTTGTTCAATCTGACCCTCACATGAAACCCCACCATCCTGGAATGGAAGACAGTCTATAGAGCACTGGTTCTCAACCTTGGCTGCACATTAGAATCACCTGGGAATCTTTTTAAAATCCTGATTTCTGGGCCTCATCCTCCGGAAATTCTGTTTCTTTGTTATGGGGTGGGGCCACAACATTAGTAACAAACAGAATTTCCGGAGGATGAGGCCCAGAAATCAGGATTTTAAAAAGATTCCCAGGTGATTCTAATGTGCAG